GCTACCGTTACACCACGAAGGCATGTAGAAAGGAGGGAGAAAATGCCTTTTATACTCCTCATCTTAAAGGGTGATTGGAGACTTTTTAGAGGTTTACAGTGTTAGGATAATCTGTTTCTGACTTTTTTGCAGGGTTTGATTTAGTTTATGTGAATAGGGCAAAGCCTCGAGGGCTATCTACCTAAGGAAAGGTCAATGTGAAGTATTGACCTTTCCTTAGGTAGATCACTATAATCAATGTGAAGTATGTAAATGCAATAAAATAAATAATGGAAATCAATTCTTATTTTCAGTATTTAGGTAATTCTAGAAACTAAGTGTGACTGCAGGCTACGAAAATTTTTCTTCTGAGTAATGGTAATAAAAGGGGAAAAATTTAATATTCTACATGCTCTTTTCCCCTTATAATTCTGCAGATTAAGAGATGCTGAGTGTTTTTATTAATTTAAGGAAAACTAACTATTATATATTTAAATTTAGAGATGGACCGAATCCTAAATTTTCTCGACTCTTAAACCTTTTTAATCTTTCGATTCTCGAGGAAAAAGTAAATGCTAAACAGATGAGGGTCGCTTTATTATTTTTAAAAAATTAACAGTGCGGCACCCAGAGACCTCCTCCCCCCAATGAGGTGATACTGATGAAATCCATTGAAATTTCAAGTCACATTTTAATTTAATGAACACTTTTATTGGACATCAGTTAAAACTTGTGTCTCCAAAATCTCTGTTTTTAGGATTCATGAGATTCGAGAAAATAGATGCCCCACTCCTACATACATTCATCAAGCTTCCTTCACCATTCCCCCTTCGTCCCCCCCCCAATTCAGGCTACACTTGTATGTTTTTGAACACTGCAATGAGGATATAATTTGTAACATAATGAGAAAATTATTGCATAGATGTTACCACGGAAATATTCTTTCAAAAAGTTTATCCGTTTTGTTCTTGGCAGTATATTAAATTTCTAAAATAAAATTAATTGTTTAAATGTAATCATACTGAATTCTTTGAAAAATCTCTATATGCAAGTCATTAAGAATCTTTAATACATTTTCAGTGTGTTAAACCTGGAACTTTATGGGACCGATTTTAATGCATAGACTTGATTTTCTTTCGAGAATACAAATAACATTTACATATTATTTATTAGAACCAAAGCCTTTACGTCTGTTACAAGATTGATATGAATAATAATTAACTCTGATATATTATCATTGTACCGCTGCTCCTCTAGTTGAACCAAACCGAATTAACTTCTTTTCTTCATTACCTTGATACGTACAATTTCTATACTGAACACGATTTTTCGGGTACGTTGACGTGTAGCTAGCTGTGTGCTGTATAACATTAGCCATTTATCAAAGAGACTGATATTAGCAGTCACTTCAATTCTTTCGTGTGACCAGTAGAATGTTCATCTAAAACGGAAGTCTTTCGCATGGAAAACTCAGTGTTGCGTGCAAGTATCATATCTTAATAAATTGTTTCTGTAAGAAGTTCCTATGCGGTTTCATCTACTATATGATAGATTTATGCGTCATGCAAGTGGGTTATTTACATAGTTTCTTCCCCCTGATTTTAACCCGAAAGTATTTCAGTCATGCACGTGGAATGCAGAGTTAATAACCAGATGTACTTTACAATAAAATAACATTTGTGATTAAAACGCGAACATTTAAAATGATCGTGATTTCTTCCTTCTTATTGCCCCCCTCCGAGTAATTGAGTAATTATTGTCATTTCAATGTGAACGGAAGTTAATATGAGAAGGTCCCGGTATTAATAATTTAATATTATAAGGAATTCAATGCATTCTTTGTAGTGAAATTGTCAGCACAACTGACGAGTAAATGGGAGGTTGCAGGTTCGATTCCTGCCGAGTGAATAATTAATTTTTGAAGATTCTTGCTCAAAAGAAACGTAATTTTTCTATCATATAGCTTATTTGAAAATTTCTGCATTAGTTGTTTTTAATGTAGGTCCACTAGTGGGCGAGTGAAAAAGTTGCTTAACCTTGGTAGTTCGGTCCGAGGTTCGAATCTCGCGGATGCATTGGTTGCATGGGCGTTTTCGTGGTTTTCTCCATGTGTAACGTGTATACGAGCCAGTTTCCCTTAGAAGGTCCACCACGAAGGTGTCATACGGAATCTTTATGAATTCAACATATTTTTTTTAGAGATAAAACATTCGAATCCTCGAATTCAATGAATCCTGAAAAAGATTTAATTGAAAACTACTATTTTTGAGATTTTTTCTTCATCCGAATCCTAACTTTAAAGGGGTCACGTTTTAATTCCAGACTTAGGAAAGATTAGTTTTATTGGCCTCCAACAGAAGTCTATTAAAAAAGGAATGTCATTGTTTCAATTTCTGAGGACCTGCATCGCTACTACCCAATGGCGGCCTAGATCGCCATCACACTCTCAATTTTCTGTTCCATTATGACCTTCCCACTTTATCTGACAGCGGTATCAGAATTAGTCCCCCAAATTTCGTCATCGTGAGCAACGCGGGATTGATTACATTTGTCAGTGGCATGGGTTTACAGGTGGCAGTACGATTTTGCTTACCTATATCCCAGTTTTGAAGAAGAATCTCCCTCAAACAGAGAGTCCAAGGGTTTTCCACCCCTCTTACCCTAGCAACAAACCACCAGAGAGAACTTAAGATTATCAGTGTATTTTAAGTGCTTCCATGCCGAAAAGAGACTACACATTTAGAAGCATCTAAGCCGAACCCAGACTCAATGATACGACAGCCAGCAACGCTAACAACTATATCAATCATTGCGGCATTTAAGTTTCAAAAGGAGCACTTAGTATTCCATATTTAATGTTCACCTTTGTTAAGTCTTCAAATAATCTTCTTCTTCCGCAATAGCCTTAATTTAAAAAGACTCTAATAAAAAATAAAAAAATCTAAACTGTTCTTTGCAAAATACATTTTGTCAAATTATATTAAGAAGCCCAAAGTTTCACAAGAGTTTCAGATAGGATTTTATTAATTAATTGATCATGTTTTTTTAAAAATACCATTGGATATTTAAAAACTATTCTTAAATTTGTTTAAACTAAATACAGATTTAAAATTTTGATTAAATTAAGTCACTTCTCTTTTCCGCATTCTTATTCTTACATAAAGGATTCGAGAGATTTAAGAACCATTTAGCATTCGCATCCAGATATATTGAAGAAAAAAAAAAAAAAAAAAAAAAAAGATTAGTTCCATCTTCTATAAAAATCTTGAGTAAACTACTAGAGCAAATTACCATTAATAAACATCTAATGACATCCTCATTGTTCATGGGTAATTTCACTTGTAAATTTTAATTCAAAAATTCAAAATCAGATATACTGAACAGCTTACATTGAATTACATCATTCTTTTGCACTACAATATTGCTCTAAAGCAGCGGACATTTTTACCCGGAATTGCTTTCATCAGCATCGGCTAAACGTAAATAAGATAATGAAGACAGGACTCAATTACGTTTGCGATAATAACAAAGAAACATACGGAGAATTTATAAGCAATGAAAGCTCTTTGTCACATTCTGCAAATGAGGAAGACGGCTATGTTGCAAGAACAGAGCTTCTCTTAAAATTATATAAATCCGCTTCTTTCTGAACAAGAGATTTCCTGAGCGAGCGGTACTATAATGGGGCTGCAATGAATTCTGTCTTCCCAAGATGCACAGAGGCAGACATTTTGCAAAACAAGACTCGGCAATCATAAATTTTGTGCATTCGGCATCCGCTTTCGAAAAGGAAAACCATAATAAATGTCTTCGCCATTTTTTTTTTCCGTTTTTACGACCAGTGAGTGTCTGGTTATTCTTGTCATCAGAATTCGAAAAGAGATTAAAAGATAGCCGAGTCTGCTGAGAACCAAAGGCGCTGTCTTCGGCATTTGTCCTACACAACGTTTAATAAGTAGCTTCTAGTTAATAAATTCAGACACCATAATTCGGCTGATACGATTGATATGACCACAGATTCATCTCCAATCGCAGATTGTTATCATTGATTGAACAGTGATTATTTAATCGATTCATATGAAAAATTAAAAAAAATGATAATAACAAGAAGATACGAAGGAGATATTTGATAAAAAAGAAGAGAATACAGTTAAATTGAATCTTTTTTAAATAAAAATATTTTGGCTACTTCAGCTCTAAATGGCTGAAGTGTTTTAATTCCCAACTTACCAAGTCGGTAATTTAGTAATGATGTCATATCTTTTACTATGACTAGTTTCTTGTTGCGCCAGTTTGGTTTAAAATTTAAAATGAAAACTTCTGACGCCCAGGCCATTTTTAAGCTTTTGCTTGCTGTATAATCCGAATTTTCAACCTTATGTGAAATTAGATAATCACATGATACAGAATCGGCCGCAATATGACCGATTCTGTATTATGTCTAAGTACACGCAGCAAGTTAAAGAAAATAAAAACTAAATAAAATTTGGAGATTAATTAATAAATTTCCAGATTAATTAATAAATTTCGGGAATTTCATCTTTAATAGAAGTCGATAATTTTCCATCGGTTTTCTGAATTCTCTCACGGCATGAAGCTTAAAAAAAATAATAAAAAAAATTAAGATTTTAACATTCCTTTCTGAGTAAAGTGATTCTCATCTTGACAATTTATTAACAACGCACAGAAGAAAATTTTCTCAATAATTCTATTTAGGAATAATTTAACATAAATAATACCGTCTCAGATTAAAACGAAACTTCAGATTTACTGGAACTTTACTAAACAATTGGTTGTTTCCCACCCTACCTCTGACATAAACAAATACGAATTCTTCCTTCATGTTGAATAAAAAAGAGATTAATTTATATTTTTTAAGAAATTATTTTGAACACAAAATGCAGTACATGTTACGAAGTCTTACATCGTATATTTTTAACGCAATTAACTTCTTTTGCTTACTGCTTATAGCAAAATAATGACGCCTTTTCATTACGTCAAATTAAATGTAAATATCTTACCATGACTAACCCAGCCATGTCCGCAACCATCACACATGCGGATTTGAGCTTTGCACGGAGAAAAGCAATCACAGGAGCAGTTAGGAGCTGTGCAACGGATGGCCTGTAAGGAAGAAAGAAAAATCATTAAGGAAGAAGGCAGAACCAGTGCTAAGCAAGGTATTTTGCATGCATTTTAAGGTATTGTAATGGAACAAGCAGCAGCAATAGATCAGAAACTACCCACAAAACAAAAACTGCAGTCTGATCATCTGATTATAGTTTAATACTTAAAAATGATGTCAAACTGGTATCTTTGCATTGTAAAACTGGTAATTTTTCATTTGTTTAATAATTAATAACGCTATTTTACAATCTTAGTCGATATTATTTGGTTAAGTCCTAAAATTGATTGAAACCGCAATTGCAAAATATCGAAAGATATATATGAAGAAGGCAACTTTCATTCGCATTCCATTTGCTTCCAATACTCACAAAAATTCATCTGTCAAAATATTAAGAACCAACAGTGCATTGAATATTTTCAGCTTTTATTCATTCAGCAATTTATTTAAGTTGAATTATACATTATGTGATGTAATGATCATATATATGCATAATCCATCTGAAAGCATGCATCTCTTAACTGTTTATGAGAAACTTAGTTTAGCTGACTCGGGAAGTGAAAAGAAAATTACCACCGCTTGATCATAGGCAATTTGTTGTGGTGTCTTCCTGTTCCCGCCATTCCTGTTTCCGCGGTTGTCAAAAAAAGTTCCTGTTTCCGCAAAAACATCAATCTTCATTACCCTCTTCTCAAAGGGGTTACATAGTGGGGGGCCCGAGTGGACCTTAGCCTCTACCGAAATGTAGGAAAGCAAAAAAAATTTCGATTAAGAAAAAAGAATTTTTAAAACAAATAATCGAAAAATATTTACGATCTCAGATTTTTGCATGAATTAAGCTAATACTATATTTAAAAGGAGAAAGATATATATATATGTTCAAACTCTGCAATGATTTTGGCAATAAACTAAAAGATCGTTTCCTAAATTAAAAAACAATATTCTTCCACAATTCTGCATAAAGGTGAGTTATAATAAAATCTTTCAGAACAAATATTCGTTCTAAAATGACGTTCGTTCTTCAAAAACGACTTCTGCTTTGGTTTTAATTGCCCCTTTTAATTCTTTCGTTTATGCAAATCCAATAAACTACATTTCCCTTATTTCTATTCCGAAATCGATGCTGATAACCTTTATAAAGGGCTAAAGATTTTTTTTTTTCCTTTTAGTTTCAATAATGTCTAAAATCCACATTGATTACCATAAGATGTGTAAATAACAGCTAATATTGTAGCAGAATTATAAATAGAATGAAATTAAAGATTTAAGGAGGAGCCTAAACTTAACGAAGACTAACTTATGCTCAAAGAAACTGCTTAGTTCTTCTTAATGACTTATCCTGACATCTTCTGAGAGGAAGGAGAATCTGTATTCTCCGATTTCGCGGGAACAGGAAGAATTTTGAAAAACGCGAAAAGAGGAATCGCGGAAACAGAACTAATTTTTTGTTGTGCACTCTGCTCCAGGATGTCTATCATCTTTGGATTTTCCTATTCAAGAAAAAGCCCTTAAAGTCCAGATAAATATTAGTAAAAAGAATGAACGCCCATTGCTGTTGCAAGGAAACCGCCAGCGACTAACAAAGAATAAAGCACCAAACTAATGGAGATTCCATCAAATCACAATCCAGTTCCGTACTGGTTCTGTTGGTTTGGTCGCTGGTCTCTGTTTGCTTCATATATAAATATCAATTAGGTGCGTCTAATTTTTTGGTGCTTGGATTTTATATATACGTAAATCCAGATGCATTCAGTAAAACAGGATTTTTTAATTAATCTAGACACTAGTCTCATTTGATATATGTAAATAATGCAGATTTAATTGCCAAGTAGTATATAAGATGGAAGTCTATAGTGGTTGATTAGAATATTTTACATATTAAATCGTTAAGAATTCTAAAATACTTAAAAAAAAAAAAAAAAAAAAAAAAAAAAAAAAAAAAAACCTTCATTTTGTTAAATCAATATTGTTCATATTCACTTTCATAGTGATAATATCTATTAGTTTAAGGAAAACTGGTATAAACCGCAGTGAAAAATAAGCACCGTTAAATATAATTTGCAAAGCATTTAAAATAATTCAATGTTAAAGTCAAAATTTCTGAACAATCTCGTTTGAGCTTCAGTGCAGGAAAACAACTGCGCAGGTGATATGAGCCGAGAGATCCAGTAAAAAGAATTTAGATCCGATACAGGCTTTATAACAAATCGCTGTGAAAAACTTTCTAGCTGCTTTTTTTTTTATTTATTTATTTCATTAAATCGGAAGGGAATTCCTCTCCTTGGAGATTTCCCACCAGCACGTCTGGAACACCAGGATAACCGCAACGCAACAGCGCCTTCGGTCCATCCTGGGGTGACCTCCTCACCCAGGAGCGGCGAAGAGTTTTTATCGCAAAGGGGGAAGTGTGTAAAAAACTGAAGTGTCAAAAACCATCCGGCCCTCGGGAGTGATTAAATCTGCAGGGGATGATGGGGAAAAATACGAGAAAATAGCGCTACATCAATAAAGCACCACTTAAAGGGGCTTTCTCACGCAAGCCTAATTGTTAAACAGCCCTAGATGCTGCGAAAATTTCATCTTTCAGTTTTATCGCACAGCAGTGATAAATATCGTAACCTTACTCGTCTTCCAATTCCCAGTAAATTCAATAAATGACAGCAATGCAACTAATTGTTAAACAAACATCCATAAATCCGAAAGGGTGTTTACTTGTTTTGAGGCATATCTCTAAGTTAACAAAAGACAGATCAGGTTGTTTTTTTCCAATTGCAGATAGTGAACAGTTTACAATGTAACACAGTCCATTAATCTATACAAGGTTAGATGTGGTGGTCTCTTTATTATGGAGGCACCTAATAGGTGGGCCACCATCGCCTCCTACGAAGGAATGGACAGTTACAACCACGGCTTCTCCGGGATTCGAACCCAGGCTCTTCGGTATCGCAGTCATGCTTCCCTAACCACTAGGGCGGCTCAGATCAGGTGTTACTTATACAATAACTACGTGAGTGCAGATTGGCAGAAAATAAACACTCAATACACACAGATGACCTTGAACACATTTAACTGTAAAAAGTTCTGAAAATTCTAGGTCATGCCCAGAAATCTGATGCTTTTAATGGATTCACTGGTGGCTCGTGTTTATTCTTACTGTTAGCTCTGTAATTTACAACATGGCTTCTTATGACCAGTGTAAGGCAATACAAAATTTGTGATCATATTATGAATTCAGATATGATCTCAGGGGAATAAACACACATATTACAGATGTGAATACCTTGTGACGATTTTCATTCCTTGAATGAAACAAAGAACAAATACACAAACATCGAAATTATAAATTAAAGAATAAAACACTATGTTTTTACAATAGAATTAGTTACTGCAGCGACTACTACTAATGTCTTTCCACTACCCTAGTGTCATAACAGTAACCTGAATGCATTTCCGAATGACCAACTCTAGCAGTCCTTAGTCACATTTTGGAAGCAATTCCTAGTCATATTTGGAATCAGCATCACCGATTCTAGTTGATCTTCTAGTAACATGAATTAGGATTCTCGATACTGGTTTCGCATTCTGAAATTTAAGATCCATCTTCTGTTGATCTAATGAAGTAAATCAGGTCTCTTTATGGCTAATTCTAAAGACTCTTATGCTGGTGACAGTTATCTAAAATATGAAATCAAGCTTTTCTAGTGATTTTTGAAAATTTCATTTCATTTTAATGATGAGTTTTATCATTTTGAATCTATACACATAATAAACAGTTCTGATGACTTCACAGACATTCGTTAATGACCGCTGAATAAATACTACAAAAAAGTGTAATTACAACAGAATACTATCAGCAAAAGTTTTTTTTTTTTTTAAAGCAATCAGAGCACTTATATACGATCGTAAAAAAATAAAGCTTCGGATTTCGATTCAATAAAAATCATTGTCGAGGAAATTTGAGAAGGAAGATACTGACGTTCACTTAACTCAGAGCTGAAATTCACTGTCGCTCACTTTGCGATTTGTCCCTGTTCCGCAGGGTGGGCGAGTGGATGAGACCGCGACTGACGAGCCGCGATCTGGGAGGGGTCGGAGAATATATCGCTCACAAACTTATCTGGCTTCGTATCAGTGTCGCAGAGGTGGCGGAGGAAGACCTACATTTTTTTATTGCATATACAAAACCATTTTTTTCACTTTCTCTGTTGTCCCCCTCCCCCCGTGAATGGACGCGATAAGAGGGGTTGAAACTAGCCGAGAAGTGAGCATCGTTCTGCCCGTAGCGGCACTTTATCTCCAGGCAGCAGATGCCCGGAGTCAAGCGATCGACAACAAATTATGACATCCCTTACACAGCCCGATAATCTCCGTGTGTCGTCGGAGAGAGCGGTCCCTTTGATGATTCCGCCTTTCTGCCCCTCCCGAACCAATCTGTTGTTTTACTTGCGAAATGCTACGTTCTCTTCGCTGTATCTTCTTGTTCTTGCCGACTTTTTAGTACACTATTGAACATAAATCTTCAGCCTGGACGGAGAGTTTCTCTTACATATTTTTTATTGTAATTTTTATACAACTGTCGTTTTAAGTTTTTTTCTTTCTTTCTTTCTCCCCTTTTTTTGGGAAGAGGACGGGAGCGACGGCTTTGATGGGAAGTGTTTGGGAGAATTTTGCTTTGAGGAGAAGAGAATTCTCTTGATTAGAAATAATTCTTTTCTTCTCAAAAGGCAATAACAGTTTCGGTACTAAAATAAAGGATGAGAGTCCAGCATATACTTGGGATTAATAATAGAAAAATTGCAGGCATGATCATTATTTTATATTTGCGAATTCTTAGTGTAACAAATGATTCAAAATTTATTTTTGTGAAGTTTCGTACATTATAGCATAAAAGTTAACTTTATTTCTTAGAACTGAGTACGGCGAAGCACACTGGAGATCTTCCTAAGGGGAATGATGCTTTCGTGGAGGACTTTCTTAGACAATTTGGCTTGTATCTACG